CAACATGTCAAGAACATCGGGCCCCATCGGATATTGGTTAAAGTAACAGACAGTGGCCAGATTACAAGTACAGCATACTATCCTCAAGTAGCACGTATCGTACTTTTGGCGAGAGATCATCAAGCATTGCGCGAGGGAGCTCAAGAGAAATATTATGGTGAAGAAGTTCGGATCGTTGAAGTCATCGCATGTCCTTCGATTATCAGCTCACCGAAAGTTCAGCGGGTTTCTGGTTCGACATCGCACTATGAAACGAATACAGCAGTGCCCTGTGCAGCCATGGCAAATATGATCGCATCACGAATTACAGAACTGGAATACCTTGCTGTCGTTGGTAAAGCTCCTACTGCGCGACACTTGCTGGAAGTTCATCTGGGATCCAAGCACCTGATTCCTTTGGACATCTGCACAGACGCCATGAGCCTCTTCGAACTCAGGTGTTTCTCTGGGTCCTTACCGATAAACATCATGGAATTGGAATTCTTGCTATACAAGAAGATCGGCCGACCCGACGAATCAATAATCTCATCCGTTTGCCGACTATCGTGAAGTTGGCAGACCAGCTCACCAAGACGATGTACCCACCAGTATTCATGAGAATGGAATATTGAGATGAAGGGCCGAATCATACGACTACGCCGCGGGGCACGACGTCCAGCAACCTATACAGAACAATATATACGTGATAGCGAATATAGCAGATCGTTCTACGACCTTGGCGAATCGTGAGAGCTGAGTGATAATGTGATTTCACTCTTGGAGTTTCTTACGTACAACGAGAAGCATAATGATGATGAATGGATTGTGATACCTAGGTCCGTGAACTCCAGTTACGCCCGATACCTTGGAGATGAGCGGGTGAAAGCGGACTCTGACTACTCATGGACATCGTCATGTTAAAAGGAAGGTTGTCGTATTGTGTGAAGGTAGAGAGAGACAGCGGGGTGTGCACACAATGTTTGCCCCTACGCTGCATGGCTGAAAAACTAAAAGTCGAGTACCCCTCCTCCGTCCTCCCTCCTCCCTCCTCCCTCCCTCCTCCCTCCTCCCTCCCTCCCTCCCTCCTCCCTCCTCCTCCTCCCTCCTCCCTCCTCCCTCCTCCTCCTCCCTCCTCCACCTGCTCCTCTCCTCCTCCCTCCTCCTCCTCCTCCTCCCCCCTCCTCCTCCTCACCTCCTCCTCCTCCTCCTCCTCCTTTCCTCCTCCTCCTCCTCCTTCCTCCTCCTCCTCCTCCTCCTCCTCCTCCCTCCTCCTCCTCCTCCTCCTCCTCCTCCTCCTCCTCCCCTCCCCCTCCCCCTCCCCCTCCCCCTCCCCCTCCCCCTCCCCCTCCCCCCTCCCCCTCCCCTCCCCCTCCCCCTCCCCTCCCCCTCCCCCCCCTCCCCCTCCCCCTCCCCCTCCCCCCCCTCCCCCTCCCCCTCCCCCTCCCCCTCCCCCTCCCCCTCCCCCTCCCCCTCCCCCTCCCCTCCTCCTCCTCCTCCTCCTCCTCCTCCTCCTCCTCCTCCTCCTCTCCTCCTCCTCCCCTCCCTCCTCCTCCTCCTCCTCCTCCTCCTCCTCCTCCTCCTCCTCCTCCTCCTCCTCCTCCTCCTCCCTCCTCCTCCTCCTCCTCCTCTCCTCCTCCTCCTCCTCCTCCTCCTCCTCCTCCTCCTCCTCCTCCTCCTCCTCCTCCTCCTCCTCCTCCTCCTCCTCCTCCTCCTCCTCCTCCTCCTCCTCCTCCTCCTCCTCCTCCTCCTCCTCCTCCTCCTCCTCCTCCTCCTCCTCCTCCTCCTCCTCCTCCTCCTCCTGCTGTTTCATCCTCTTCATCTTCATGCTCCCCTTTCACGATTGTTACGGTCGGACCTACGTAAGACAGACTAGCATCCTTCAAGAACATGAGACCCTCCGCCGGCCAAACTGAATAGCATTCGCGGGTATCCTTTCCCAGGGTGCACAAGAACATCCAACAATCACGAAGAACATTAGGGCACCCTCCCCGAACCGACCTCGATCTTATACCTCGGCCCGACCGTATTCTTCCTACTCCTCCTCCCCTTCCGATCCTACGTTATGCTCCTTCTCCCTGCAGGAGGACAGGATGAGGAGGAGGAGGAAGAGGAGGAGTAGGAGGAGGAGGAGGAGAGGAGTGGAGGGAGAAAAAGGAGGCAGGGGTAGGGAAAGGACTAATGGAGAAGATGAGGACTGGGAGGCAGGAGCTCGCACCGCAAGTCACTCCTCCTCCTCCTCCTCCTCCTCCTCCTCCCTCCTCCTCCCCTCTCCCCTCCCCCTCCCCTCTCCCTCTCCTCTCCTCCTCCCTCCTCCTCCTCCTCCCCTCCTCCTCCTCCTCCTCCTCCTCCTCCTCCCCCTCCTCCATTGCACCTTCCCTCCTTCACCCTCTGTCGGCCCTCGTCCCTCTCTCCCACCCCTTTGTCCACGCTCCTCCCTGGCTCCCTGCTCCCAGCTCCTGCCTCCTGCTTCCCTCCCTGTCCATCGCTCCTTGCTGCAGTTCCCACGCAAACCCGCCCTCGTCTCTCGCCTTGCCGCCCTCCTCTTTGCGGTCCTGACTCACTTATTCCCGTTCCCTTCCCCTCCTCATCCTCCTCATCCTCCACTTCCTCCTTTTCCCCCTCCATCATCCCCCACATCGATACGCGCACCCACAAGCAATTGCCATGCTCCTGGCTGCGCCTTAAAGCCAGGGAGATCCGCTTCAGACGACTCCAACACAGGTAAGTGGAGGCGGAGGAGGAGGAGGAGGAGGAGGAGGAAGAGGAGGAGGAGGAGGAGGAGAGGAGTGGGAGGAGAAAAAAAGGAGGCAGGGGGAGAGAAGATGAGGACTGGGAGGCAGGAGCGCGCACCGCAAGTCACTCTCCTCCTCCTCCTCCTCCTCCGTTCCCCTCCTCCTCCTCCTCCTCCTCCTCCTCCTCCTCCTCCTCCTTTCCCCTCATCCTTTCCTTCCTCTCCTTCCCCTCCTTCAGTCCTTCCCCTCCTTCCTTTCTCCCTTCTCTCCTTCCTTCCTTCCCTCCCTCTTTCCTCCCTTCCTTCCTTCCCTATTTCCCTCCTCCCCCGCCGCGCCGCCTGCGGGGCCCCTGCGGCTCCGCTCCGCGCGGGCCGCGATCGGCGCAGCAGCGCCCGCGGGTCGCGAGCCTCTCGCGGGCGGTGGGGGGGGGGGGACCGGGGGGGCGTGCGGGGGCGGGGCCGGGGCAGGGGCGGAGGCAAGCAGGGGGGGGGGGGGGAGGAGGAGGAGCGAGGGAGGCGGGGGGAGGAAGGGGGGAGGGAGGGAGGGCAGAGGCAAGCCGGGGGGGGAGGAGGATGAGTGAGGGGGCGGGGGGAGGAAGGGGAAGGGAGGGAGGGGGGGGGGAGGGGGGGGGGTAGGCGTGCCACGTCGCACGGCAGCGTGGGCAGCCCAACCTTTGGCGATCGTGCTACGCACAGCGGGATTTCCGCAGCACCTGCAGCACCTGCATGCGCACCGTCCTGGCCCGTGGCGCCGACGAGCGAGGGTGACATCGCAACGGGCGCAACCAGGATCTGACCCACTGACCTCGAGCAACCACGGTGGCACACAAGACTACCGCCGCACGAGACCCGCCTGGCGGATCACCGTGGTGGGGGGTGGATGAGGATACGCCCGAAACCTGCGCGCGCAGCTGAGCTCCACGTCCCCACTCCCGAGTTCAACCTGCGCGGCAGGCTGACCCAAAGGCGAGACGACTTGAGCATGCACAAAAACTTCACCTGATCCGACAGAGCGGCCACGAGGAACACCAGGGGCAGCCAGTGCCGGAGAGACGCCCTCAACGAACTTCTGCTGCTTGACATCTTCCACCGAACGCAAGTCGACGACAATGGCGTCGAAGCCGCTGCCAGGCATCGCCACGGGCCCACCAGGTGCGACGAGTACGGACAAGTCGAAACCCAAAACCCATCGACGATGTAGGAATAACCCCTCCCATTTATAGACCCCCCTACGAATATTCACTTCCACCGTTTGACGATCCTGAAGCGTGCCAAAACACCGCTCTCGGGATTCCAACGCCACGAATCAACCTGACTGTTGCGTCTTGACGATCCTGAACCGTGCCAAGACACTATTCCTGGGACTTTATCACCACGAATGAACGTAACTGTTGCCGCCTGGGAAATCCTGAATCGCTTCAAAACACCATTTCTGGTACGTTAGCCATGGGAACTCTTGTAAATGTTTAAGACGAGTGTGCGCGTCGCCAGAGCGAGAACCCGTGAAGCTCTTGCAATGTTTAACGAAAATGCGCGGCGCTAAGGCGATAATCACATTCTGAAAACGGCCCACTCTTAACCTGTGAACCTCGTGATTTGCTTAAGGCGAATGCGCGCGGCGCTAAGGCGAGAACAACATGTTGAAAACAAGCTGCCCTCAATCCGCGAGACTCTTGCAATGCTGTAAAAGCGAATGTGCACAGCGCTAAGGCGAGAGCCACCTTTTGGAAACCGCCCGCCCTCCATCTGCGAAACCGTTGCCAATGTTTCTCAAAAAGTGAGGGAGTCTCAGGCGGAAACGCCGGGCCCGCCCCTCCGACTGGCCTAGGGGTGCGATGGGGAGGTTTACAACGAAAAGAAACGGAGGAGGAGGAGGAGCAGGAGGAGGAGAAGAAGAGGGAGGAGGAGGAGGAGGAGGAGGAGGAGGAGGAGGAGGAGGAGGAGGAGGAGTAGAAGTTGGAGGAGGAGGGGGAGGAGGGAAGAGGGAGGAGGAGGAGCGCTGGACAAGCCCTGCGGGCTCTGGCTGCGAGATCCGAGGCCTGTCAATGTTGTGCTGGCAGGGCCGCGAGCAGCCAAGCGACGAGGTCACCGCCCACACCCGCGGCTGCCTTTTGGAGACGAGGAGCGACCACGTGGCAGATCCATGCGCCCCACGCCTGCTCACGCGCTCATGCCTCCTCCGCCCTCCTGCTGCAACTCCTCGCCGTCGTCCTCGCCAAGGGCAGGAGCGGGAGACGCGAGACACGCTGACGACGGCCAGGACGTTCCCCTGACCACCTACAATTCGGTCTCACGAGGATGTCCTCATGTCTGGGCTATCGCATGCTTGCCCTAAGGCCTCGATGGCGTCGTCATGGGGCACGTAGCCCAGTTGATCCCAACCCTCTCTGGACCAACGCATGCCAGAGTTGTTGGAGACACCGCTGACTACAAGGTATCCCTCAAAATCGCTCTCGATGGCGCGCGTGAAGAGGTGGCGGAAGTCTGGTGTTGACAGCCAGATGCGATGCAACCAAGCAAGGATCAGATCCCTGTTGTCGAAGCCTTGAGCAACCTCTGCTTCAGCGCTTTCTTGCACGGCCACCCTCTCTGCGGAAATCGTCGGCGTGGCGGTGGCCGTCATCTGCCTCGGGTGATTTTCCCCAGGCTGGCACCATCCGATGCGGACTGTGACGACAGAAAGCCCGGGCGACGCCGCTGATGCAGCGCGGCCAATTTCTTCCAACTGAACCTTTGCTGTCGCATACCCTGAAGCGTCGGTGGTGAAGCCTGGAAGGCGGAAGTGAGTGAATCTTCCAAGTTGGGTGCTGGGACCTATCTCTGGTGCTTGTGGAGAAAGAACTGCGCCATCTTGCATGTAGCCACCCAGCACGTGAGAAGAGCTGGCCAGCACAAGGCGCCGGGCACCTGCTCGCTGAGCAGCCAAGACCACGTTGGAGTTCATGCGCATCGACAGACGCGCCTCCTCCCACGTGCACTCGGGGTACGGGTTGACCGCGGCAAACTGGATCACTGCGTATGCCCCGTCGAGAGCGGCAGTCCACGCCCCCATCTCGAGGAAGTTCGCCTGAACGTGCTCAAACGTGCCCCTGACTAGGGGAACGAAGAATGGCATGAACATAAAAACTCGGAGGAGGAGGAAGAGATGGAGGAGGACGAGGACGAGGACGAAGACGAGGAGGAAGGAGGAGGAGGCGCGGATTTCTCGGATCGGCGCTGGGGGCCCCCTGGCGGCGCCTCCGGCGCCGCCCCAGGCGCGAGCCGCGCGCAAAGGGAGGGGGGGTTCCGGCGCCGATCGGAGGAGTCCGCGCGGACCTCTCGGCGGTGCACAGACCTCCCTTTCGTAAACCGCCCTCTACAGTCAACCCGCACAGTAAGGATGCGCGATAAGGATGCAAGGGCCTTGGACGCCCATTTCGAAGTTTTCCCGCGGGGCGCGACCAGCGAAAGCGGCCAAGGATGGGTCGAGGCGGTAAGGATGCAAGGGTACCCTTTGGAAGGTTGCCCATCCTTACTATGCGGGTTGACTGTAAACCGCCCTCTAGTGAAAACGGCCTAGGACCGAAAACGACGGACCTGGGCCCTCAGAAATGACGGCCGCGACGTCCCCTAGCAAGCCGAAAACGGCCAAGTCGCAGATCGACGCGTCAGGGTGGGAGGTCTATCATTAAGTCGGGCGTGTCCTCCTGCAGGCGGATTCTGGACGACCAGTTTAAATACCCAAAACAAAACTCCCAAATGGCCAAACAATAGTCAAAACATCGTCCCCCGACTGTTTTTTTACTGTGTTTGAAGATTCCTCCTGTAGAGGGACAGGCCCGACTCGAGTCGACCAACCTCCGAACCTCCGAATGCTCATGCTCACGTCGCTTTTCGTGCCCCTGATGGCGCCACCCTCGGCGTCGGGCAGGGGACTCGGCCGCTGGCCGCCGTGGAAGTCCGCGTAGTCGTCGAGCAGCACGAGGTGGTACTTGCCGTCGGCGACGAGGTGCCGTGCAGGGCTGGACCCAAACGTTATTTCTCCTTCTGTGTTCCTTTTGCTGTTCGTTCTGCTCTGTCTGTTTTCCGGTACCTCGCTCCCGAAGCGAAGAACAGAACACAGCCGGAGTCCAGCAAAACAGCGTTCAGGTCCAGCCCTGGCGCTGCGCAAGCCGTCTGCCCAGGCTTCCGTAGCCGCAGATCACGACCCGCTTCTCGGGGGCGGCCAAGAGGGGGGCGTCCGAGGGGTGGGGGGCGCAAATCCTGGCCGGTGGCGTGTGCGCGGCCTAAGGGGGGGCCAGGGACGCAATGAAACAAGAAGAGGCGCCATGAGCTCTGGGGAGATATCGTGGCCCCCGCCATGAGATCCCCCCCCAATCATCGCCCCCCTCTTAGCTGCCCCTGGGGGGCTTCATGAGGAGGAAGCGCCTGGCACACGATCGAACTTCCGGACGGCCGTGCGAGGCCGAGGAGAACGCGCAGCTGAACCACGAGCCGGGGCGGCCAGGGAGGCAGGAGGAGGATGACGGACGATGCTCGTGGGAGAAGGACAACGAGAGGATTGCCCCCGCCGATGCTCCCCGAACCTCTCCCCCGGGCGCGCCCGGACAAGGACTCCGAGGCGGATCCAGACGTGGCGTCCAGGGCCCCCCTGGAGACTCTGGAGGCCCCCACAATACAAGGCAGCGGCAAAAGAACCTCATTCTGAACTTTCGAGGTTCCGCACGGATTTCTTGGATCGGCGCTGGACCCCCCTGGCGGCGAATCTTGCGCCGCCGCTGGCGCCGGAGGCGCCGCCGCGGGGAAGTCGG